CTTTGGAATTAAGCATCTTAATGAGAATATTAAACTTCTTTTCATGGCCTCTGAGTCACCACATTTCAATATTGTTAAATAAGTGTTAAGTAAGGTCTTGAAATGTCTTACTTCTCTGCTCCCAATTTCCTCTCCTTATACTGCAGAAATCTATCATTTTAGCACCAAGGAAAAGGCTTAAAGTGTGAGGGATCCCAACACTGAAGCAGTCCTCCACACAGGGATCTAGCCAAGCCTTCCATTAGCAGAATACATGTCAGCAATCCACTCAGAAAGGCCTTGGGGCTCAGCTTGCAGCCCTCCCAGGTTCCTTTACCCCAAGGCTCAGGTTCTTCATCTAGAAAATGTGGTTAGTAATGTACCTGCCTACTCAGAGCCACTGCTGTGCCTAAGACAGTCTTGGGGTATGTGGAGTATCCCACCAAGGCAATATTATTTGTAAAGCACAGGATTTTACACAAGAAATGTGTTACATCATGAGAACATGCTCTACATCATTAATCATCAGGGAGACGCAGATCAAAACAGCAATGAGATATCATTTCACACCACAGAGACTGGCCCACGTCCAAAAGAACAAAAGCAACTGGTGCTGGCGTGGATGTGACGAGAAAGGGACCCTCCTTCACTGCTGGTGGGAATGCCGACTGGTTCAGCCCTTTTGGAAAACAGTATGGATGATTCTCAAAAAATTAGAAACTGAGCTCCCATTTGACTCAGCAATACTACTCCTGGGAATATATCCCAGAGAGGCAAAAAAAGTATAGTCAAAGTGACATCTGCACTTGTTTGTTCATTGCAGTACTGTTCACAATAGCAAAATCTGGAAAAAACCCGAGTGCCCAGGATCAGATGACTGGTTAAAGAAACTCTGGTACATTTACACAATGGGGTACTATGTAGCTGTTACAAAAGATGAAGTCATGAAATTTACATACAAGTGGTACTACATGGAAAGTATCATGTTAAGCAAAATGAGTCAGAGAGGGATAGACATAGAAAGATTGCATTCATCTGGGGAACATAAAGTAACAAAATAGAAGACTAACACCCAAGAGTGGCTGAGATTAGTACCAGGAGGTTCACTCCATGGCTTGGAGGCCAGCCACACATGCTAGGGGAAAAGGAAGCTCAGATAGAGAAGGGAGCACCAAATAAAGGGTGTTGGGAGGATCCTCCCAGGATGGGAGAAGCATGCTGAAAGTAGACTATAGACCAAACATGATCGCCACTCAATGCCTCTTTTGCAAACCACAACACCCGAAAGGAGAGAGAGAACAAAAGGGAATGCCCAGCCACAGAGGCAGGGTGGGATGGGGGGGGGGGGGGGAGGGAGGGGGATGGATCTGAGATCAGTGGTGGTGGAAAATGGGCACTGGTGGAGGGATGGGTATTGGATCATTGTATAATTGAAACCCAAGCACAAAAATTTAAAAAGTACACAAAAACTGTACTTCATGGTGTTTCACTAATAAAAATTTAAAAAAAAGAAAAAAGAAAGAAATGTGTTATACCTGATAAGGGTCTTTTTGATCAACTAGCCCAATTTTGGCATATGAAAGGAGAAAGGCAGAAAATGAAGAAGTTCTAGTAGAGTTTTTTTGTTTGCTTTTGTTTTGGGGCCAAACCCAGCAATGTTCCATGGTAACTCTTGGCTCTGCACTCAAGAACCCCTCCTGGTGGTGCTCAAAGGCCATATGGGATACTAGGAATGGACCTGGGTTGGGCATGTTCTAGACAAAAGCACCCTTCCTGCTGTGCTGTTCTCTCCACCCCCTAGAGGTGAAGGAGCACTGTAGCACTGTCCTCCTGTTGTTCATCGAGTTGCTCGAGCGGGCCCAGTAGGGTCTCTATTGTAAGACTTGTTGCTAATGTGTTTGGCATATCAAATATGTCAAGGGTAGCTTGGAAATAGTTCTAAAGAAAAACAAGTTCCAGTGAGAGCCTGGAGCTCAGACATGGTCTCCGGGTCTGGGTTCCTATACTCCATAAGATTTCCCCATTTGAAAGGATTTGGTTCCTGATCTGCAAGAATTCCACTCATATATTTTAAATGAGGCTATCGTTTAAATGCGGGAAATTTCAAACTATAAAAATACACAGTCAACAACAATAAAATATTGGTTGGCCAATATTTACTGTTGAGTGTTCTAGAAGAATTAAATGCATTAATAAAGAATGTAATGGGGGAAAAAAAGAATATAATGGAGCATCTACTCATGCAAGAAGTGCTAAGAGGAGGGCAATGAACAAAAATACTGTACACATACTAGGAAGAGGTGCTTTCCCCACCCACTATGCTCCCAAAACAGGAGGTGTAAACTATAACCCCCATGTTCATCAAAATTTCTTGGTTTCCCAGAAAGAAAACCAGAGGATTTTCCAAGACTTTATGCTAATTTCTAGAATGCAACAAACCAGATGGAAGATGTTGGGTATGGCTGAGAGAAACGAGACCTTATGCCAGCAATGGAGGGACACAGGAGCAATAGTTAGACAAAGGGACACAAAGCCACCACCAGTAAAACAAAGGAGATCCACTTTTTGTGATTTTACATCAGTAGTTTTATTACAATATACACTGACACACAATTAGAGAAGGAATGTCCTGACAATTTCTGAGCATTTCACGGAAAGCAAATGTAAACCATTCAGGCAGTCGAGTCATTCATATCTTTTCCAAATGCAAAGCAAAAGCTTTTATATGTGTTAACTCAGAAAAGCAAAGTTTTCTTATTCTTGTCTATAAAACTTCAGTGTCAGAAAATAGTTCCTGTAAAGTGGGCAGAGAAGTGTTTCCTTGACGATGTTCCTGATCCTGCCACTTGGTCCCCTCCCCACCACCAAATTTTCTGGATGTAACTGTTTATAATCCTGCAAAAGGTAATGTGCTCAGGAGCTGATTGGGGCCGATTATTATATTCACTGTAATAGAAAGGAGAGGACAAGTTAAGAAAATTAAGTCCTGTTAAAATGCACAAAGGCAACAACAACAACAAAAAATAACTGGGTATATTAAAAAATGAGGTGCTCTTTTCACATAACTCATTTAAAAGGTTACAATTACCATAAACACTTTAACTCTGTTAAAGATCACTGGCAAATGCTCGCTCTCCTATCTGCAAAAGGCCTCTCTGCACCTTCCACGCAGAAAGCAGCTCAACACCTGAAGAGTCCCAAACCCTGGGCAAGGTTGTATCGCTGGAGCTGCATAGGCATTTTTTTAAGATCCACTTCTGTACAAGACACTATGTATGGGATCATGAGACCTCTCCAGCTTTCCACCATCACCATGGCATTTGGGTGTTCTAATTCATTTAACACCCAAATGAACAGATGCACTCTAATAAAGAAACACTAAAATGGCCTTTTAGGTAAGTTTCACACTATGTTTCATGACTTGGGGGTCAACAAAGGAAAAAGCCCAAGCATGATTCTAGTATTTCATATAGAAAAGGACTACAGGAGAAAACGGTTTAAAAAACATTAAAACTCAGGTGAATATAAATACATTTTTGGTTAATCTGTGCTATAGCATATAGAAAGCCTACCAGATTTTCAGTCTACTAGGTCACTCGTTTGGATTTTCATGTCTGTCTGTATTATTAGAAGAATATACAATGTTGCATATACTCACATATGCATATACATATATAAAATTCGGATCATGAAAATTTGTTTCAAATACATATATTTAAAACCTGTACCTCTAAAAATAAATACACTAGCCTCTAGCTGGCTAATTCTCAAAGCTCCCTCACAAACCAATCAGAACACAGTTTCTCAACAATGGCAGATGACCAATTAGCTGCTCTTCAAATCCATTATCTATCAGTAAATGTTTTAAAATTCAGATGTCGAACAGAAATAGCACTCCCAGAATAGAACGCAGAAATCTGGCTTTGAAAATAAATGTCTTGGTTTCCATGATAGTCCTACAGATGTCTACTTCTTGCCTCTGCGTTTGTCTGGCAGGGCCGGCACGTTCCTGGGACAGCACTCTGTCCCACTGATGCTACCTTCTAATCAAAGGAGTCAGCCGGCATTGTCTGTGCCACATGGCTTGCGGGTACCGAGACAACACTGCTTGTATCTGATATCACTCCCATAATCACAGTGAGTTGTGCGTTTTAATGTAATTCACAAGGGGCTTATCCCACTGAGGCAAAGCAAGAGACAGCCCTGGCATTTTTCTTTTTTTAAAAAAGGAAGGAAAGAAAGAAAGAAAGAAAGAAAGAAAGAAAGAAAGAAAGAAAGAAAGAAAGAAAGAAAAGTTTCCCAGGAGAACACCACTCAGAGGACTGGGAGTTTGCTGATGTAACTTGAAACCACTGCCTTAAGGGGCACCTTGAATAGCTGGTGTTCTAGTTCAGAGGAACAATAACAAAAACAAATAAAAATACTCAATGTACTTTCTTTAGGAAGGATGAAATTCACAAAACTGGAGCTTTACTTTTTTGTAATTTTACATCTTTGAAAAAAAATCTTCTAAAAATGATAGAAGCCAGACCAAGTTGTTTGATAAAGTTCAATACTTAACAACCTTGTCATTTCTTTTTAAATACAAGAATCTCGGAGATGTAGGAAATCCATGATAAATGACAGCAAGAATGTTTAATGCCACTGCCTAAATTTTTCAAAGGAAAATTCACCATAGTTGAAATACAACTGCAAAAAAAAAAAAAAAAAAAAGCAGAGTTCTAGGCTCTCAGAGTTGCAGATTGTTAACTTTATAAATTAAAGGTGAAAGTTCTCCATACATAAACAAGGCCTCTTTTCATTGATTTCAATCTCATTTTAAACCTTTGGATATTTCAATCTTCAGACTCCTCAAGGTAAGGCTGAGTTTATCAGATATAAATAAAATGTTTAAGTCCATGATGTACTGTAGCACTGAGGAAACGAAAGCATCAAATATTTACAGGCTGGCTACAATACTTTTCTTTTTACAAAAAAAAAAATATATAAATATATATATATATATGTCTCAGATTTGTTTCAACATTAAGCCACACACGCCTGTGAAATTCTCTGGCTGCAGGTGTGAGGCAGCAGCATCTCTCCTCGGCTCTCTTCTTCCTCCAGCCCCAGCTGAAGGCAGGCCTCAAGGGAACGGGCGTGGCCTTTTGGGAGGTGGCGGGGGCATGAGCTCCGTGTCAGGGTCCACATGATGCTTTCGTTTCTGTCCCTGAGTCGCAGCTCCACATCGGTCGATGAACTCGAATAGCATCTCCTTGGTGACAGGGTTTGAGATGCTGTTGCACACAGCTGTTGGATAAAGGCAGACACATGTCCCGCGTGAGTGGGAGGATGAAGAGACCAGATTCAGCCAGGAAGATGAGAAAGGGTAAAGTCTAGGTGCACTACGCAGAACACTTTTGTTTCACCTGCCTGGAGGACTAAACTCCTCTGCCGATCCCCCACACTGAAGGGACTGCTTCCGCGCTCAGTCCCCTGGTCACTACTTTGACACCTACACAGAGTACTGACATCAGAAGCATGTCTACCAATGCTTGTTCGGTAACAGAAGTTCCAGTCAAATCTTCTATAGAAAACCTGAGTGACTGTCGATAGTTTTTCTCTGAGGAAAAACTGGGAAGCATAGAACAACAAAAGCCACCATTCCAGTGGAATAAATATGTCAGTCTCACTGTAGCTGGTGGCTCCTACTATTTTACTCACTTGCTGGAAATAAGGTATTCGAAAAAAATTGCTAGCAAGAAGAGCTATTTTTCTTATGTAACCAAAATTTAGTGCCAGTGTTTCAAACGATTTACCTATTTGGTAATGGAAGAAAAGACACTGGCTTTAATTATTCCAACTTTCAAAATAAATGCACCTTGTCCGAATACAGATACTTGCTTCAGTAAGGATATTTGTGTCTATTAATTCACTTTCCAGTTGAAAAAGTCACACTGACAATTTCTATATTTTCTCATAAACTAATCACATAATCATCGTCACCACCAATGGAACACTTTTCTAATCATACACATTTATATTAACTTTTCTGTTTGCTTGTTTTGCGGGGCAATACCTGGTGGTGCTCGGGAATCACTTGTGGCAGTACTCAAGGGACCATATGGGATACTGGGGATGAACTCAAGTTGACAGCATGTGAGTCAAACACCTACTTGCTCTGGCATATATTAACTTTTATTCTTGATTTTTGTCATTTTTTTTGGTGCTTAGCTGTTGTTTTTTTTAATATGAACGGTTTTCATTACTTTGTTCTCCATTATTTGTAAAAGTTATTTTAGGAAATGGAAATTACATTTTCCCCTGATAATTTAGCATTTTACCATCTGGCAAATAATTTTTTTAAATCGTTTTTGAAAAAATCCGAAATTATCCTGGCTTTTGTTGCTACTGTTGTTCAACAAATCCAACTTGAATGCAGCCAATTATCCTGCCTTTTAAAGTTTTCACTTTTGGGCATATGGGCACAAGCCAATTGAAACCAACGGGACAAAACCAAACTTGGACAGTCCCTTCCCCGCTGGCAGGACAGGGTTTGAAGGGCTTGATGCTACATCAGGCAGAACAACACAAACACATCCAGTTTCTATCCCCTTCATTCTCTGGTTTTTATTGCCACAGCTTCCTTACGGCAGGAGGTGTAATACTCACCCAAGGCAGTGTTGTAGGCATTCGGAAAACTTTTGTCTGTTCTCTGCCTCATGAAGACCCAGCTGTTGTTCTCAAATTTGCATTCTATAATTTTGTTGTCATACTGTTTCAGGTCTTTTGTCACCTGTTTTTAAGAGAATTGAGGAAACAGCTTCAATCATCTGAAAGGCTTTTTGCTTGCCATTCTGTGACAGACGCCTGAGGAGATGCCAGAAATCCCTCAGTAGCTCTCCATGCAGAGCTCTTTTGTCATCTAAAACGTCTAGTGAAGCCTCAGGATTCGGTGTGCGGCCCTTACACACAGGCTCATCACCCCAACATTTCACAGACACACAAAAATGGCTGTAATATACTGCAATTAAAAGAGGCTACGCAGATGCAGCCACTTCCAGGCCACCTACAAAGGTGAGACTACTGGGACCCACGCCTCCAACACCTATCCTAATGGCATTAAGAAACTGAAGATGCTACTTGGGTCAATGTTCATAAAGGTTTCACCATCTAAATTCCTTCAAATTTCCCTTTACTGGTCAAATGAACAAGTAACACAGAGAAGGCAATCATTAGGATGAGATCTAACAAGGAGCAACGCAAATGTTATGCTTTTCAAGCAGTAGAAATTAGCCAAAAAACCAAATCCTTGCACTATTTTCGGCCTTTCCATTTCCAACTAGTAAGAATTCAGAGATGAAGTTACTTTTGATTTTAGTTGGTGGGATTTCATTTCTTGTTTTGCTTTGTTTTATTTTGCTTTTTGGTTACTTTACCTCAGATGATTGAATATGAATTACAACTTACTGTATCAAAGCTAACAAGTATCCATGGTAACTATAAGACCTTTTAAAAGATATTTCATCAGGCTGTGAGGATGGTTTTCATAAATAGGAACCTAAGCTTATCTTTGCAGTTTTCAAATCAAATGCCAGTCATGGCAATATTTTAATTCTATCCTCATCTTTCACAGCTAACAACTTTTCCTCACAATATGGTAGATTGCAATCACTTAACTTCATTAGCATTATTTGAAATGCTCTCATTTTTCTACCCATATATTCACTACCACCTAGGAATATGAAGGAAACCAAATTCTGAAAGATGCTTTTAATTCATAGATTCAGCAGCGCACATCTCCCTAAAAACTTTCAAATTATATTCCTACTCCCTTAATGAGCATTACACTTGATTAAACTATTTACATTTTGAACAATCTAACAAGTCTAATATGTCCAATGACTGTGCAATCAGATCTGTCCCCCAAAACGATGCTCCTTCAGCAAACTTGCTAACAACTTTACTCTCATTATTAGAATATTCACTGTCATGAAAATAACATTCATTAACCTATTCTTAGCCCCTCCCTTCCTAGGAATCTATGTCCTTTTACTTTTTATTTATTCGTTATCTATACATATTAGGCAGTTCTTTCACTTAGGTAATCACACTTAATGTCTCTAAACATTTCAGAGTCTTAGAAATTGTCTAATATCCAAAAATAGGCAAAGGAATTCCAAACTTATTGGGACAATCAAATTATAAGCCAAAGTGTCTTGCACATTTCAGCCAACCAATATAATTTTTAATTGAGTACAAAATTAGGAAATGAAATGCGATAGTTTTTTTTTCTAATGAAATTAGGTAGTTTTACTGAGAGTAGATTCTCATTCTAAGGATAATGTAGGATTCTCCAGGGTGGAGGTGAGAGGGAGATGATGAAAAAACAGACATGGGCAAGCCCAGAGGAGAGTATGTCTACTGCTTATTAGAGAGAGGGAAAGAGAGAAAGGAAAAAATTGTCTACCATGGGGTGGGGGGAAGGATACGGGAGGGAAATGTGCACTGATGAAGGGATGAGTGTTGGAACACTGTATGACTGAAACCCAATTATCAACAACTCTGTAACTGATCTCTCACAGTGATTCAATACAATAAAAATAATACTAAATAAAGTGGGGAAAAAAATCTTAAAAAAAAAAAAAACTCTTTGTAAGTAGATTCACTAAAGAAACCTGGAAAGATCCACTCTGAAAACAGCTATCAAGAAAATATTATTACACATGAAAAGCCTGCGAGTCACACAGTGCGGCCTCCACTTTTACTGATGAGTAACTACAGTAAGTCTTTATCTTTCAGCTTTATTATTCCTGTGTTCCTAGTTTCAGAATTGCTATGAATTATGTGTTTGTCAATTTAACCATAGCAATTAAGCAGTTATTATTAAGTATCTGTATTTATGTGGGCAATTATTAACAGTCCAAGAGTCTGGAAAACTGAGTTTCCTAGAAAATGCGTACACCTGCCACCTACTAATCTAAATGTATCTCCATGCTCAAGAATATTAAATTTTTTTTGCACTGATCACACAAATCATATCTCCAAGATAAACACACTGCCAGGTAATTGTTGGGTTAGGTAGTAAAATATATTTAACTGATAAAAATAATACCTCCCATATGTGCACAAACTAAAAACAGTTTTCACTAATGGTCAGATCAAAAGCATGATTGGCATACTGGGGAGAAGTTTAATTTTAATGTCCAAATCCTAATTTGTTACTATGACAATAATCATCCTCAGTCAATTACATATTATTATTTACTAAAACAAGATCCCGTCAGCCCTGCTATAATCAACTCTGTTATCCTAGCTCAAGTTAATGAGAGCTTGAAAGTAATAAGAATAAAATATTTATAAATCAGGATCTCAAATCAGTAGCTGTAATTGCACCCAATGAATGAAGCTTTTCTGTTTTGGGGTGGGGGGGTGGGAATGGGGAAAGAAAAGCAAAATAATCCAGCATATTTTCTCTGAAAAAAGTGCTTTTTATAGGGGCCAGGAGATAGCATAGCAACCAAGGTGCGTGCTAGGTATGGTTTGATTCCGGGCACCAGATGCCCCTGAGCATCACCCAAGTGGCTGGGTGTCCTAACACTTCATCTTCAGGCTCCTGCACTGAAGCACAGATAAGTCTGACCTAGAATGGCTAGTGGGGAACCTGAGTACTGCCTGAGAGTCTTTCACCCCTAAAAAAAAAAAGTGCTTTTTACAAATCTATTTTGAGTACCAAGGTGTTCTTTAAAAAAAATTTTTAATATAGTATTTGAATCTACCAATAATCTGGAATTAAGTGACATTCAGATAAGATGAGGTCTAGTATCTCTGGAGATTTTTAATTAACAGCTCAATGATAAGACCCAAAAGGAGACCTTCCCTTCCACCCCCCACCCCAGGTTCCCCAAACAGACAAATATAAACATGGCCCGCTTGCCTTTGCCACTGCTTTTTGAAATACCTGTCTATCCTCAGTATTGGGAATACTACGAGTCACAGAAGGCTGTGCTACCAAACGTCCATCAGGAGGTAAAGTAATATGCACAATGCCCTTTCAGTAATAGTATCACAAACCACAGGATCCAAAAAGAAAAAATGAAAAGTGTCTGCCATAGAGGCAGGCTAGGGCCAGAAGGGAAACTGGGGACACTGGTAGAGGGATGTGGACTCTAGTGAAGGGACTGTCCAACTGAAATTCAATCACGAACAACTTTGTAACTCTATATTCATGATGATTGCAATAAAAGTTTTTAATTAAGTTGAATCAGAAGAAGAGATTGTACAAAGTCTTGGGGAGGTGGATGTGTTGGGACAACTGAATTAATTTGAGCTGAAGAAACTTTGAAAGAACAAATAGCCTTAGACTGAGAAAAATCACCAATAATATTCTTTAATTCCAAGTTTTTAGTGATTTTTAGATTTACCGAACATTTGTAAAGTGGTACAGAAAGCTCCAGGATTCCGGTCACTTAACTTCCCCTAATGTTTAAATATGATATCATGGAACTGAGCAATTCTAGAAATGAATATCTTTGCCTGTTCCAATGTATTTATTAGTCATCAGACCTGCTCAGCTCTTTCTGATCTGTGACAGTTCTCAGACTTTTCCTGACACTTTTGCAGGCTGTTAGTCAGATATTTTAAAAAATATTACTTAATTTGGGGATATTTTGGTGTTTTCTCGTGATTAGACTAAGGTTGTTGCTTTTCGGGAAGAATGCCAAAGAGGTAAAGTGTCATTTTCATTGTATACTATCTGGGGCTGGGAGTGTTAGGAGATGATTCATCACAGGTGATGGTAACCCTCATCAATAGGTCAGGATGTCGTCTGCAAGTTTCTCTGCTGTGAAGGTACTATTATTCCCTTCCCAAACTCTACTGTAGATTATGTCACTATGACTCGTCTCACTTAAGGATAAGGGAAGTAAACTCTATTTTCTGGAGGGAAGGGTAACAGAGAATTTGTGTACTCTTATTAAAACCATCCCAGATATTATTAAGTCTGGGGAGAGATATTTTGGGGCTATATAAATATCCAAATTCTCTTTAAAATTTTGCTCATTAAATTTAGCATTCATCCGTGAATCTTGCCAGCAGCAATTATCACCATGGTGTGCTAATGGAGTTTTCAATTTTCTCCATGATCTGAACTACATCTGTAAGGAAAATTTGACCCTTCTCCCTCACTTACCTATTTGTACACATCAGTTCACATTTGCAGGTATTTATTTGTTCTTTGGTTTATAACGGGAGGCTACTGCCATTTGTTATTTGGCTCCTGTTGGTCCAGTTTGGGCCCCTGGAAACTTCCTCGAGTTGGCTTATGTGCCCTTTTCACTTGTTCCCACTCTTATGCATCTATTTTTAGCATCACTTAACCTGGGACGGGGTGTTAACACAAGATACTACTCCGTCATTATCTTCCATTTTCTTTAGCCCTACCCGGAGTCAGCCACGAATCCTCGACCAGAATCTAAGAAGACTGACAGTGCTATTCCTCAACCATGCAAAATGTATTTTTAAAAGCATTTATACCATTTTTCAGAATTTCAATTTATTGAGAGAAAGAGAGGGGAAGAGACTGGGGTGAAACAGAATAACGATGGTGAGACTAAACAAGAATATATATTGTGTATTCTGCATACTCTGTATATATTCAATATATAATGCAGAGATTCTCACCCTACCTCTGTGGACAGCACAGGCAGCCAGCTTTCCTTTCTTTTCTCAGCAATTCTACTGCTCAGTAAGTCAAGCTCTACCTCTGCAGTATAACAGAAGGTAGATCTTTAAAAC